AACTGCCCTCCCCTGCTGGCCATCTTTTGGCAGCCTTCTTGTATCCACATGGTGTCATCTTTGACCACATGGGGGCAGCCATCTTGTGTGTTGGAGTGATGGTCAATCTGCATATTATTCTTTTATTAGATAGGATAGAGTCCTGGTGCGCGAGTGGGGGCTAGCTGGTTTTCCCTGAAAGGTGTCCCAGATCAGGGTGGGGGTTCCCTTGAGGTGTGGGGCAGCCTGGGCGAGGGGCCTGTGGTGATTTGCAGGCTAATCACACCCCCCAGCGACCCAAGAGGAGGCCCTGGTATCTGGAATTTATTTATCTTCTACAATTGAAACTTTATAGCCTGGAGCAGAGCCAAGCCTTCTGCTGGCTCTATGGTGGCAGGGGATTTATTTACCTTCTTTAATTGAAACTTTGTAGCCTTAAGCAGAGACTTGGGTCGGCCAGGGTGTGTGGAAAGCTTGTCTTCTTCCATAGCCTGGGAAACCCAAGCCTCTCTCCTGCTTTCTCCTTGGCCACAGTCATCTTGGTTGGGTTAATTTGCATACTCACTCTGATTGGCTGATAAGTGTGGCTTGTGGGTGTGGTTTGTGGGTATAGAAAGTGGTGGTTAATTTGCATATTACTCTTTTATTAGATAGGATAGGGAACATGTAAGTCAAAGTTGATGGAATGCTAGAAACACACTGAGAGCCTGATTTATCAACCTGTTTGTTATTATTAAATAACATTTTTTATTATTATTAAATAAGCTATGCAACAAATATATATATATATATGTGGGAAATGATGGATATACAAAGCTACTCATTGCACAAAACTTTTAATAAGGACCAGAAAAAAATTAAATGTCTAAAAGAAGACTGATGAAATGAAACACATACAATGAAATATTTTGCAGCCATAAAAAGAAATGAAGAACCATCTTATATAATGACAAAACTTCTACAAATCAGTGAAAAATTAAATATGTACCATTTATTTTGTAAAAAAGGAAGAAAAATAAAAAATATATAGTATTTATTTCCTTGTATATACATAAATTTTTGGAGGCAAAACTATATAAACATCTGTTGGCATTAGGTGTTCACTAGGCAAGGAACTGGATAGTTGAGGAACCAGAGTGAAAGAAAGAGTTTTAACTGCATATCCTTTTTACTTTTTGAATTTTGAACATGTGACTGTATTACCTAATCCAAAAGGAAACACAAAATTTAGATCAGCAAGAAAGTACTTTGAGATGAAATAGGATCATGTTTTTAATGGGAAACATTTATGAAAAGTAGGTATAGCCTGGCTGGCATGGCTCAGTGGTTGAGTGTCAACCTATGAATCAGGAGGTCACAGTTCAACTCCCAGTCAGGGCACATGCCCAGGTTGTGGGCTTGATCCCCAGTGGAGGGTGTGCAGGAGGCAGCCAATCAGTGATTCTCTCTCATCACTGATGTTTCTATCTATCTATCGTTCTCTCCCTCCCTCTTCCTTTTTGAAATCAATACAAATATGTTTAAATCAATACAAATGTGTTTAAAGGTACAGTTTAAAGGTAAATAAGTGCCTGCAGGTAGGATGTTTGGACTATCATGGACCTTCCTTAAGAGACCCATCTATCCCAAACTTCTCATAGATGTATAAACCAAGGCCTTGAAAATTAAGTGATTTATATAAGGTCACATAACAGAAGAGTTAGTAATAAAAATCAGATACTCCAATACCTAATCTAGGATACTTATTCTCATTTCATGTGAGCAAAACAGAGCCAGGTAAGTTTAGGCTAGAAAATAGGTTGTCATGTTCTATCTAAATTTTAGAGTTTAAAGTACAAGATAATCTTAAACTCTTGGACTACCAATTTCTTATGTAGTTTCTACATTGCTACATTAATAAACTGTGCATAGCTCTTTCAGTGAACATATTACAGTATAAGTGTATTTTCTCTTTAAGATATTTTTATTGATTTCAGAGAGGGAGGGAGAGTGAGAAGGAGATAAAACATTAATGATGACAATCATTATCGGCTACCTCCTGTAAGCCCTCCACTAGGGATCGAGCGGACAACCTGGACATGTGCCCTGACTGGGAATCAAATTGCAATCTCCTGGTTCATAGGTCAACTCTCATCCACTGAGCAACACCAGCCCGTCTAAATGCACTTTTTTCCATCCTTCTAACACAAGTGAATTCACTGAGGTAAAGAACTAAACTGAATTATGCTGTTTTAGTTTTTTAAATACACAAATGCCTAGCACAATTGTATTGCCCAAAACATTAATATCGGTTTACATTCCTTAACCAAAGCCTAGGGGATGGATATGTTTTAGAAGTAAATAATTTCTTAGAACTTTAAAATGTTACAAGGTACACAAACCATTATAACACCTAACATACCACTGGCCAAGGGCCACACCCCATAATCAAACATAGTATTTCTTCAAGAAAACATATATGATACATGAAGACTATATATAACTTCTTAGTTTAGGTCACATTTTGCTACCAAATTAAATTTGTCCCTAAGCTTAAAAGGGTTTTGGTTTTTCAAGCCTTCTGATATTGGAATCAGGTGAGAGATTATAGACTATGCTCACAAAGGTGTTGCTAGAAAATATGGTTAGATGCTTCAACCATCATTTTTTTTATTAGACTAGAACAAACAGGCAGTTTTCACATCCTAGGTTTGGCCAAAGGCTTGTTATTAAGGAATCCAACCTAGCAGAGGGAGCAAAAGCTGATATAATGAGAAAAGTGAAAAAAGAAAGTTCTAATTGTACAACACTGACCTCCTATTGGAGCTGCTCATTGGTCATAAATTTAATAAAAGCTCCTTTTGCTTAGATCATGCAAGTTTTTAAATATAAGTGAATAAAACTCTGTCCCACATTGCTGAAAAAAGATAGAGGCAATGAGCTTTAACCCTAAGAAGGTAACTGGACTCTTGTGGGGTCTGGTGTAATACATAGAAAGAGGCATTCGAAACACACTGGCAAGAAACAAGCAGAAATGGATATAGTGTGTGTGTGTTTTCTAAAGTGATACCATTCCTCTAATATAAATGAAAGAATTTGCAGTTGACTTCTCCCGATTGACTGTTCTATATTAGTATCTTTTCTTTTATTTTATGAAGCCTTATGTGACTTTCTCTACCTTTTACAAGGGGGAAAGCTGTGGAACATATACTAAAAATCCCTTCAATTCTTTTCACAATCCAAGCTCTACCTTCATTTTGCTTATTACAATTATTTTTTCCTGTAAAAAAAAAAAATCAACTTTACAGAAAACAATGTTTGACTGATATAATTCAGCTTGGGAATGTTGATTTTTCAATCTTACAAATTTAACTACACTTATCAACTATTTTGTTCAGTTTTTGAAGTTACTCAGCAAGTGTTTAATTACAAAAAAAAAGTGTACTCCATTCCAAAAAATGGCAATGGCACTGGTGTACAGGAAAAACCCTGAGTTTCAGCTATGGTACTAGTTCAGGAGGAAATACAACATTCTCATATTTTCATAATTCATTAAAAAAATTCCTAACAAGCTGAATGTAACAACAAATATCCCAAAAATGATAATCTTGTACAACAAAAAAGGTAAACAAAAACTAACCAACCTATGTTTCGGTCTGGAAAAAGCAAAACAAACAAACTTCTGCTGGATTTCTTGACTATCGATATTTGCAACGAGAAGCACCAAAAACTAAAATGCTTTTACTGAAGAGCTTCTTAGCACACAGGACTCGTTTCCTCCGTGCTGCCCTCTCAAAGTGACCAGCGTTATCCCACAATTCTGTGACCGTTCAGCTGAAGAAAACAACATCCCCAAGGCCGATGGGTAGTTCCTCTGGGAAGACTCGGTCAGAAGCTGCACGTTGTTGTTCCGGGAGTGGAACCAACTGAACGAAAGGACTTCGCTGCCCCGAGATTCGGGATGCAGACTGTCACACTGCACGCGGTCCCGCTGTCCCTGCAACCACAGGGCCTCCCTGCGCCAGCAGCCTCACCCTCACAGAGGACCCTCCCTCCTCCCTGGTTAGCACAGGGCGGGAGGGGGAGCAGCGCTGGGCCAGGTCCCTGACGGAGTCCCTGAGCTTTGGCCGCTGCCCGCACCGTTAGGAGCTCTGGGAGGGAGGGGGGAGGAGCAACACCCCAGAATCCGGGCCTGGGAGATGGGGTTGGGGAGCCAGGGAGGGGCAGCTCCGTGTGTGGTGGGTGACCTTTATGAACACGCACTCGCTGCGGCTGTAGGACGGCGGCCTCAGGAGGCCTTGCGCAGCCCCCAGCCGCCGAGATGGCGGTGCCGCGTGGACGCACCAGCCCATCGCCTCCAGGGCCCCCTCCGCGGCCCGGGGCCGCCGCCCGCCCGCCCACCGGGTCACTCAAGGGCGCAGCGGCTTCCGCCTCGGGGTCCCGCGGAACAGCCCGCAGCTAGGCACGTGCTCCCGTCACTGCTCAGCGAAATCCCTCCGCTGCCCGCCACGAACTAGTTTTAGTCACGCCCCGCCTCCGGTGGCGTCACCTCCGCCACCCCAGCACTTTCCAGCAGCTTCCAGATCCAGAAACGTCGCCTCCCCCAACCCTCCATTCCCAGAGGGCGGTCTCTGCAGCCGCCGGCCCCGCCCCGAGTCGTCGTCGCAGCTGACGCTGCGGCAGCGGAGGCCGGGCATTGGTCAGAGCCGCCGCCAGGCCGCCGGAAGTGCTGCGACGCCAGCCTTCCGCCGCGCTCACGGCCCTGATCCTTTCGGGCCGCACACGGAACCCGACGGGGGACTCTTTTGCGGCGGACTGAGACAACCGGAAGCTGCTTTCCTAGCGGGGAGGTCGGTGGGGGAGGAGCTGGCTGTGGTTGGTTTTAGGGTGGACGTTGCTCGGGGCCTCGGGACAGGATTTCGGATCCAACCTGCGCGAGAAAGTGCACCCGCCTCAGGTAGGAAAAAGGGGCAGCGTTCTTCTGTGCCCAAAATGGGGGAAGGGACAGCGCTGGGTTGGCTGCGGGTCTGCGTGCACGCTGCTCTGGGGAGGGAGGGGCAGGGACCAGGTTCGGATGGGAAGGTGTGAGGTGTAGAGTTAGAGGTGTAGGTTCGTTTGGGCTCGGAGAGGTAAATGCTGAAGAGAAACCAGAGTCGTTCTCCCCTTTCCCGTGGAACGTGGAGCTGGAGAGGGTGCACGGAATCTTGCGCCGCCTCGGGTTCCCCAGGTTGAGGTTTGACACTGACCCCTGTGGCTCCTGTCCGTCTCTGATTCTTATCGGCCGGGCTTCGTACCCGACCCGGTTGGGCCCAAAGCCGACCCTGTTCCTCGGTTTCCAGGCCGTTGTGGCGTCCCGTTGACAGTTCCCGTGCTGAGCCCACTTAGTCCTGGATGGCAGATAGGTCTAAGGCTCCTCTTGTGACACTTTGTTCGTTGGGTTTTCCCGTTTTGCACGTGGGGCTGGGAATTACGCTTAATTGCATCATTTCCCCTATTCCCAGGGCCAACTTGATACCATTCCCTAGGTCTGTACTGGGTTAGTCATTCACACTGGAGTATCAGTGGCTCAGGGAAGTGATAAAAATGGGCGCGTCGAAAGAAAGATGCTGGAGGCGAGGAATAGAGGAGGGTCAAGGCTGGGCGGCCACAGTGCAGTGGCCTTTATTTCAGTTCATACTCAGGTCACACTGCGCTGTGGACTTGCCTACAATCACCCTGGGGTTAAGAGGTGATTTTAAGCTGGGCAGGGACAAACCCAGACTTTGGCAGTGATAGGAAGTGGAGAAGTGGAGATGGCCAGGAAAGAGGTGAGGATTTGAGAGGCTCCTAAAGAACTGTCTACAGAACGTAGTGATTTATATTGAGTGAAGAGGAGGGAAATGAAAGAGCAGAGAACCTCTCAAATTATCTAGTGTATGTGTTTGGAAGGATGGAGATGCCAAAATATAGATGATATATAAGAGAAAGGAGCTGTTAGTTTTAAAGGGAGGACAAAAGAAATTGTATTTGAGAAGTAGCTCACTTCTGGTATTTTAGTAACTGAATTTTCTTTCGGGGGTTCTGCATTATATAAGATTTCAACCACCAGTCTACCTGCTTTTTTCTTTGAAATGGTGGTGGTAGGATCAGGGGAACAGAATTGAAGGCTCCTCCTGTTTCACTTTTATAATTGAGAGAGAGCCTACTAGAATCAGTGGGAAAATGTTCTTGATCCCTCAAGCAAATGGAAATTTTCATTAAAAACAATTTACTCAAGATACAGATTACCAGTTTTCCTCTTGAGAATAATACAAGATGGGTTGCCTGTTATCTACAGAATCAAGTATAAAATTAGCACCACATATATAGTAGTTCAAATTTACTTTGTGTCAGATGCTAAGCATTTTACATATATTAGTACATTTAATTCTTAGAACCACCAATTATACAAAGAAATTGCTGAATCCAAATCTTTAGGTGTAAAACCATGCCTTTAGCCACACTGAAACCATAGAAGTTTGGCTCTTTCCTATATAGTTCCTTTTTATAAGCAGATTATAATAGAACCATCAGAAGATAATAAAGTAGTATTGTTTGTGAGCAGCCTAAAAAGAAAATAATTTAGCACCAAACTCATTTTTACCCTTTTGCCAATGGTTCTGGATAAGGCATTTTTGCCTGCCAAGAGACATTTGGGTATGCCTGGAGGCATTTGAATGCCTTTGGCATTTCCTAGGTAGAAGTCATAGATGCTGCTAAACATCATGTATAGCGCACAGGGCAGCCCTCACAACAAAGAATGAGTTGGTCCAAAATGTCTGTAAGCTGTAGTTGAGAAATCTTGCCCTGTGTATATTCAGGAAAAGGAAATTGTGATTCACTAACACTGGTTTTTAAAAAACATTTCATTTTAAAAAATTATTCCTTGGCTTGAAAGTATATACTGCTGGAACAGAATAGCATAACTAGTTTTTCTTTTCTAATGTTTTTATTGATTTTTAGAGAGGAAGGGGGAGAGAAATTAACATCAATCAGTTGCCTCCCACACACTGGTCCCAACCTGAGGTTGAACCCTCAACCCAGTTATGTGCCCTGATCAGGAATCCAACTTGCAACCTTTTGGTGCACCATGAGCTGACCACCCAACTAAGATGCATAACTAGCTTTTCAAGTGACCCCATGAACTGCAATTTTTTAGATGATTGTTATGGAATCATAGATTCATAGATTTGGTAAAGACTTTTGCTTGAAATCATTTTACAACATCCCTACTAAATGGTGATTCACTTTGCTTATAAGTTTCCTTTGTCTGGTTTCCCTGTATTTTAAATCCATATCAACTCTACTTTTAATAATCACTTTTCTTATGCTGAGTTTCAGTCTCGTAATTTTTACTTTCCTAAGTAATGGGACTAACACTTGGAACAGGCTTGTTATATATATAATTTGTATTGTAATAGTGTTTATGTGTTCATTTACTTTAATGTGAAATAGTATTTTGCTGGCAACTTTTAAAAAGTGGCATTATTCTCAGGGGGTGAAGTATTCTTGGTGGTTGAAAGTGCTAGGAATGTATGGGGTTCTTTGGTCCCTGTCAAGTAATGGCACAATGGATCTAAGATTTGTTTTTTTTTTTTGTTTTGTTTTAATTGATTTTAGAGAGAGGAAGGGAGAGAGAGAGAAAGAGAGAGAATCACCAGTGTGAGAGAGAAACGCCAGTGTGAGAGAGAAACACCGACGGCTGCCTCTGAGAGGCGCCACACCACGAGGCGGAACCTGCAATCTAGGTAAGTGCCCTGAACCGAATTCAAACCCACAACCTTTTGGCAAACGGGACTGTGCTCCAACCAACTGAGCCACACTAGCCATTACATTTCTTAATGTATTGCTGCCATATTTGTTTCTAATTGTACATAGACTCTAAAAACTTAGGCTTTCAAATTCTGGTCAATAAAAATTGGCTTTAAATAATAGTTACCTCTGTTACAAGTTTTAATAAAGTTGCTTACAAACGAGTCTATGAAAACCCGTCCTGTTGCCAATCTTCGCCCTCTCCCCACAAACTGTCTAGTTTTATATAGTTAAGTATTTTTTATCTCCCAGATTACAATTTTAAAATATGTTTGTACTAGGACCATGGTTGGCAAACTGCGGCTCTCAAACCACATGCGGCTCTTTGGCCCCTTGAGTGTGTCTCTTCCAAAAAATACCACTGGGCGAATCTATTTTGAAGAAGTGGCGTTAGAAGAAATTTAAGTATAAAAAATTTGGCTCAAAAAAAATTTCAATCATTGTACTATTGATATTTGGCTCTGCTGACTAATGAGTTTGCCGACCACTATCCTAGGACATACAGTTCTCAAAATTTACATAATATATGTACATCTTACAAAACAGAATATTTCTAAATAAATAGGATTTTTGTTTAATTGTCTGTTGACTTTTATTTTTCAGGATTCATTGAAAAAGTCCTTAGTGATTTTGACATGTTTCGAGTGACATAAATTAGCAGTGACTCGGAATGATGGATTCCCCGAAGACTGGAAATGGTTTGCCAGTGATTGGACCAGGGCCTGATATAGGGGTGTCTCCACCCCACGTGGTGGGGTATTTGGGAAAAGTTAGTCAATTTATTTTTTGCCTCAGTGCAAAGTTGGTATTTTTTCCTCCTGGTTTTGAGACTTGAATTCGGTTTTAATTTGACCATTTAACTTATAAATAAATTGTATCATCTTCCACGGAAATCTTACAGTATTGGCGAAAGATTGTTTTAATGTATTTACCTCTCTGTTTTATTAACATGTGAAACTAGAAATTATACAGACCTTATGGTTTATTATTCTTTGAAAATATGGAACATGCATTTTCCCTTACAATTAACATTACCTTTTTTCTTGCAAGTAAAACTGACATTATTTTTAACACTTAAAACTTAATATTTAAAATAACAAAATATTCTTTTTGGGTTAATAACTACATTTAAGGCCTCTATGCATTTTTTATTTGCCATGTTGAAAATATCATTCCAGGATACTTAGAGGTGAAAGTTGTAATTCTTTTCTGGTTGCTTTTCCACTTAACATTTTATAATTTGGTACTATCTAGTAATGTCTATATTTTAATTTACTTTATTTCTCTTTTAGAATTATGATTCTGCTAACATCCTGTCAGATGGGTATTGCCCTGCTTGTAGAGAGAAGGGAAAGTTAAAAACCTTAAAGACTTACCGAATTAGTTTTCAGGAATCTGTCTATTTGTGTGAGGAACTACAGGTAAAGTATTAATTTTATGTATTTTTTAAAAGTTCTTTTTATTGATTCCAGAGAAGGGAGAGGGAGAGAGAGGTAGAAACATCAGTGATGAGAAGAATCATTGATCGGCTGCCTCCTGCATGCCCCACACTGGGGATCAAGCCCAAAACCTGGGCCTGTGCCCTGACCGGGAATTGAACCATGACCTCCTGGTTCATAGGTCTGGTGCTCAACCACTGAGCCATGCTGGCTGGAGCTAAAGTATTAATATTGGAGTATTAATTTTATTAATTTTTTATTTTTTTAAAATATATTTTTATTGATTTCAAAGAGGAAGGGAGAGGGAGAGAAGAAATATCAATGATGAAAGAGAATCATCAATCAGCTGCCTCCTGCACGCCCCCTCACTGGGGATTGAGCCCACAATCCTGGAATATGCCCCTTGACCATAATTGAATCCCGGGACCCATCAGTCCGCAGGCCGTCGCTCTATCCACTGAACCAAACCTGCTATGGTAAAGTATTAATTTTAGATAGTATTGAGGTTTTGGCATTTTGCTTTTTTTTTTTTTTTTTCGGTGTTTAAATTTGTGCTCATTTTATACTTTTTCTACTGTACATTTTTAATACTTAGATAATCAGTATTTCTAGATCTGTCTAGTACTCTTAAATATTTTCTATTTCAGAAAACCATTTGGTTTCCTGAATTATTGCAAGAAGATGTTTGTTTTTATTGTCATTAGACTTGTGAGAGGAAAAAAATACATTTCAAGATGTATTGTTAGCTGTTGTTATATAGTAGTCAATCTCTCTTCACTTTGGTTTATTAACTTTGGGACTTATTGAAAAAGTTATTAATCTTTATATGTCATATACTTAAGGTTCTAAATATCTTTTAGGATTAATTGTAATTTATATCTGAGGTACAACTTGAACTCGTTAAAGTCCATAATACTTGACGTTTTGTTGTATTTGACAGTTATGAAACTGTTACGTACACATTTAATTCTCAAAACTTTGCAAGGTAGGTATTCCTATTTTGTGAATAAGAAAACAGGGGCAGAGAGTTTAGGAACTCAAGATCTCCGTAAAGTGGCAGAGCTGTGATTGGAACACAGTCCTCTATTTCAGATTCTTTTATTCCAGGTAAGCTAGGAGTCAGAATTACCTGGAGTGCTTTTTAGAAATTCCTGAGTCTCATCCCAAGATGCTTATAAAATAGAATTGACCTGTAATTCTATAGTTTTGTAACTTCTTTTGAGGGTAAGTCTAATTATTTGCCAACTTTGGAAAATACTAGATTAAGTCACACAGTTGGTGATAGATACTTTGCTGGATACAACTTAAAAAAATCCCAGGCATTATTACAATTAGGATTAAATTGTTTTTGCATTTATATGATAAATATTTTTTGAGCATCACTTTGTTGGCACTGTTTCATATGCTAGGATACAATGAGTACAGAATTTTCTTGCTCTCAAGGAAGTTATCTTATAGAGTGGGGAAGAAAATAAGCAAAGTATATATTTTTTGTGTGAACTGATGAAAAGTGCTGCAGAGAAGCTCCAGCTGGGTGGCTTAGTTGGTTGGAGTCTCATTTCTTAAACCAAAAAGATTGCAGAGTCAGTTCCGGTCAGGGCACATACCTAGGTTGTGGGTTCATTTCCGGTTGGGATGTGTCTGGGAGGCAGCTGGTCCATGTTTTCTCTATTATGTTGTTGATGTTTCTTCCTCTCCTTCCCTCCTTTCTCTCGAAAAATCCATAAATAAACATATCCTCAGGTGAGGATTATTTATTATTTTTATTGATTTTAGAAAGGGAGAGGGAGAGAGAGGAAACATCAATGATGAGAGAATCATTGATCGGCTGCCTCCTGCATGCCCCAACCCCAAACCCAGGCATGTACCCTGACTGGGAATCCAACAGTGATGCTCATCACTGAACCATGCCAGCTGGGCGTGGGTGAGGATTATTTTTAAAAAACAAGAAAAGTGCTATGGAGAAAAATTAAGCCACAGGGACTAAATTCCAGGGAATGGGGAGATCTGTTTTAAATAGCATGGTAAAGGAAACTCTTTCTTGAGAAAGTAATGTTTAAGCAAAGAGATGAAGAGGAATGAGCCTCGTAGGCAGGGGAAGTCATAGGAATAAGGCCCAGAGAGTGGAGGCTGCCTGTCTGTGTTTGTGCCACTGCAAGGAAACACCAGAGCTGGATCTCAGTACAGGAGCAGTCATAAGAGATGGGTCTGAAAAATAATGGGGAGGGGACTAGACTAAGCAAGGTCTTTATAGGCCATTTTATCGATAACATCTCTGGATGATAATCTGATTTATATATTAAAAGGATCACAGTGGCTGCTGTGTTGAAAATAATAGGTTCTGGGCAAGACCTAATGCAGGCTGACTAGCTGGAAGGCAGGTGCAATATTTCAGAGGGAGCAAGTATGACCAAGGTGATGAGGTATGACTGGATTATGTATATGTTTAAAAGTGGAGCCAAGGGAATTGCTGAAAGGTTGGGATACATGATAAGAGGGAGAAATCCTATGGATGATTCCCAGAATTTTGGCTTAAATGAAATGAGAAGGCTTTGAGGAGAGGAAGATTGGGAGGGACCAGTCAAGTCTGAAACATCTACTACAACTATAGTCTACATATTTAAATCCAAGAATCACCACTCATAAACAATATTGAATGAATGGTTAGCACATGATCATATGACTTCACTTGAGGTAATTGGTTCTGTTATCACATAGTGTGACTTTATATAGCAGTTTTAATTCAAGCCAGCAGATGTTCCAGCTGTGTGCATTTGTTTATTCATGTGAGGCTTATGGGCTTCTCACAGTATGATGATTGGGGCTGAGAATAAGTATTCCAGAAGGAGGGCTCTAGTGCTTACCAAGCACAATAAGCTGATGCTTACCAAGCCACCATGTGCATCCTGCTTGCTAATGTCCCATCAAAACTAGTCATGTGGCCCAGCCCAGAGTTGTATAGAACATGGGACATTTTATTTTATTAAGTTTTTCTTGTTGACATTATTAGAGATGCCCTCTATTTCCCCCCCTCCACCTAGTTCCTGCCCCACCCCAGGCCTTCACCACACTATATTTTTTTATTTTAATTATAGTTTACATTCAGTATTATTCTGTATTAGTTACAGTTGTACAGTATAGTGGTTAGACAATCATGTGCTTTACAGAGTGGTCCTGTTATTTCAAGTACTCACCTGGCATCATACATAATTATTATGATATTACTGAATATATTCCCTATGCAGTAATTTATTTACATCTCTGTGACTACCTACCAATTTGTATTTTTCAGTCCCTTCACCTTTTTCACCTGACCTAGCTATCAGGTGGCATGTTTTAAATGAGGACACATAGAATATATATATCATGAATTTGTCTAATTAAAAAATGCTGGTTTTAAAAATTAGGGGAAATTCATTGATTATTTTAGTGATTTGTTTACACTGTTGTTGTTTGGCTGAAATGTACCGTGAGATTTGATGAAGTCATTAAAATTAGCCAATTTGACCCTTAAACACAATACAGATGTAAAATTCATGTTCTTATTACTCTCAGATTAATATTCAGTTTCAAAATTAAGAAGCAGAAATTATTCCATGCAACTTATATTTAAAAATACTTTTCTCATTTTTAGTGTTACTCAGTTTACCTGTCCCAAAAAGACTAACACTCATAATAGACTTGAAATTTTTAAATTCACTTGACATTAGCTTTTTATTGAGACAAAATAATGTATATTTACCTTATTAGTTTAACCTAAGAATAAGAAAAATTATTCTTTTGGGAACTGAGTTTTTAATTAAATAGTTGTTTATCACTATTTCCTTTAAATTTAGATTGGTAATATACCCTCTCATGTCAATTTAATGCTAACTTTTTATACATATTTTTCATGACTTAGAAACGGTAAAGTAAAATTTGAGCTCATTTGAATTTTTTTAGTTATCATTTTATTTTTTTCTTCCCTAGTGCATCTATCCTTTGGGCTCTAAATCATATAATAACTTAATTTCTCCCGATTTGGAAGATCATCTTGCTCCAAATAAGCCTCACAAAAGAAATCTTTTGGAAATAAGCTGTAAAGATTCACCTTTGACAGATTCCAAAGAGATTAAAAGTTATAGTGTTATTGATGGTGAACAAGTTTTGAACAGCAAATATAACGGAGAAGAATTTGAGGAAACCTCATCAGATTTAACTGACTCACTGCACAGCGGTCAGCAGAGCCCAGTTAGGGCCACTGATTTATTGGGACCAGATGAGATTTTGGAAACCGTTGTTACTGACGTGGCTGCTAAAGATGATGCTAGTGCAGTTGATATTTCTGGAACTGGAGAGACTGTTCCTCATAATGAAGGAGGCACATCTGAATTGGAAATGTCACAGGAAGACAGATGTTCACTATTTTGCCAGACTTCATGTGTTCAGTGGAGAAATTCTGATGCCCTCTGTTGGTTAGACTGTCTCCTGTCACTATTGGTGCACTTGGAAGTGGTAAAAAAGACAGTGATGACAGACCTGTGCTCTAATGAGGAGTCTCTGTTCTGGCAGTTGTTCACAAAGTATAATCAAGCTAGTAAACTTCTGCACGCCAGTCACTTGGATGCAGTTAGAGGTTGGTAATATTTTATTTCCCTTTAATTTGTAAAGAGGTTCAAGTTGAATTTTGTCTCACAGCTTGTGGAAAAGATGCCTTCAGTAGCCTGTTTCACATTGAGACCTGGAAGCAATGTACCTCTGAGTATTTATGAAGCTTGAGATGACACCAGTTGCATCTGAGTAAGAAATACTTTGACTTTGAGATTGCCTTTTTTTTTTTTTACAATTTTTAAAATTCAATTTTTCACATACATTTTTTCTTTTGTCTTTTCTCTGTTCCTGTTTTCTGTTATTACAGGAACCCTGATACTGACTCGCTGACCATTCTTCAATTGATTGTTACAGAAGAGCAACAACTCTTGTTTAAGTTTTGACTTAAATATTAAATTAATTAGTTTTTATATTTTAATCTTGTATTACTCTTTTACAGAACAATTGTTCTTATAATATGGTAGTAATTATTTTGTTTGAACTGCATTACTTTGAATTATATTTGAGGAAATATATGATATATGATATAGTACAAAGAGGGGAGGAAGAAATAAGAAATTGTTGTGTTTTGCTATTTGTCTGTACAAAATTTATTTCCTGCTAAACTTTCTTTCTTGGCGGTGTCTTAATTTTTTTAAAAAGATATAGATTGAAGAAAAATTGATAATGTTCTGCACTTTATTTTTAGATAGAGACTTTACAAAACTTATTTCAGTATTTGAAAGGATAGAGACCTGTCTAAATGAAGTCAGAAGTAAGATTTTTATCAGGATTCAGCCTCAGCTTGGGTGCACATTAGGTAAGTAAATTTGTGCAATTTAACTGAATAACTCATCTACCATAAAGAAAAACTTACATCATAAGGAAATATAATACTGTTTTAGTAGTTTAATGATCCAGATTCTTGGGGAAAGAATCTGTGTGGTTTCATTTAGGAATTAACCACCGTTAAATCATCCGGGTAGAACTGGTCCATATAAATATGCAGGTTGTGTTCCTCCATGGAGTGGATGCTGGTCTCAGAAACAGGTGAAGACTTGGGTACCCTGATTGCTTATTCAATACTTTCCCCCAGTAGATTGTTCAGCATTAAGCACTGTCTGCATTCAAAGGCACGTAAAGAATTTAACAATAGTGCTAAGGGCCAATTAAATAAGAATCTCAAGATGAAGCTCAGGAACCAGGAATTTTAGAACTCCCACATGACTCTTACAGGTGATCAAGGTTGAGACTCTCTGGTCTAAACCAATCAGAATAATTCTACTTCACCTGCCAGTGATAAGTTTAGAAATGGACAGATGGTACAGTTTTTTGCCAATGGGATATGAGAACTATGCTGATGACCTTTTGGGGACACTCCCTTAACTTTAAAGTGGGTACAAGAATATGACTTGCTTTGTCCTTTATTGGCTTTTGGCTTGGAGCAATATGGAGCAAGGACACTACTAGTACATCTCTGGGCTTTTCTAAATGTTTTTGTGAAGAGAAGCTGTAATGATTTCTTTGTTTGAGGGAGATGTCTCTTATTTCTATTTATCCTTGTTAAATTCCTTTATTGTATTGTAGAAGCAGAATATACAGAATGTACCCCTATTAGTATATTACCCATTATTAAATTATGTAAAACATCAATGATTTTCAAGTTTTTCTCTCAGTAAGTACATTAATTTTATCAGAAGCAGATATTGTATCTGAAGCAGTGTTTTTTTGCATGATAGTATCTCCTACTTCTTTGTTTCACAGTTTTGTTCCCTAGTTTTACTATGTTGTTTCTCATGAACTCATATAGATAAGAATTTATTCTGTTTTGACAATAAACTGATTTTCAATATGTTAAGTCTTTGGCATTGCCTCCTCTAGATCTAAAGGGTTCTAATTTATCATTAGGTAGGATCTCAGATGGGGTGAATATTCTTTTTTCTTTTTATCAAAGTATAACCCTTTTTGTTCTTTTTTAATTTTTTATTGTTGACAGTATTACAGATGTCCTCCATTTTTCTCCCCTTGGTCCCCCTCCATCCAACCCCTACCCGCTCCAGGCCTTCACCACACTACTTTCTGTATCCAAGGGCTATGCATATATGTTTGCAAGTTCTTTGGTTAATCTCTTCCTATCCCCCCCTTCCCCCGACACCCCCAAGTCTTCCTCCCCTTTGAGTTCTGTTAGTCTGTTCCATGCATCCATGTTTCTGGACTTATTTTGTCATATGATAGTTTTGTGGGTTTAAAAAAATCTTGTTGTTGAAGGTATTACATTTGTCTTCTTTTTTTTCCCATTGATCCCTTCTAGCTCTCCCCACTACCCCCCAGGCCTTAACTACACTATTGTCTATGTCTATATATGCATACAAGTTCTTTGGTTGATCTCTTCCACCCACCCACCTATCACAGCCTTCCCTCTGAGATGTGACAGCCTGTTCCACGTTTCTATGTCTGTGGATCTATTTTGTCATCAGTTTATTTTTGTCATTAGATTCCACATAAGAGTGACATCGTGATACTTGTGTTTCTCTAACTGACTTATTTTGCTTAGCATAATACTCTCCAGGTCCTTCCATGCTGCTTCAAAGGGAAAGAGATCTTTCCTTTTTACTGTTGCATAGTATTTCATGGTGTAAATGTAACACAGCTTTTTATATCCACTCACCTACTAATGAGCACCTGGGCTGTTTCCAGGTTAATTGTGCTGCTATGAACATAGGGTGCATATAATCTTTCTGATTGGTGTTTTTTGTTGGTTTTTTTTTTAATGTAATATATTTTATTGATTTCAGAGGGAAAAGGAGAGAGAGAGAGAGAGAGAGAGAGAGAGAGAGAGAGAGAGACATCAGTGAATGAGAATCATTGATTGGCTGCCTCCTGCACATAGCCTACTAGGGACAGGCCACAACCAGAGCATGTACCCTTGCTGGAATTGAAGCTGGGACCCTTCAGTCTGCAGGCCAACACTTTATCCACTGAGCCAAACCAGCTAGGACTATTTTGGGTTTCTTAGGATATATTTCTAGAATAGGGATATCTGAGTCAAATGGCAGTTCCATATTTAATTTTTTGAGGAAACTCCATATTGTTTTTCACAGTGGCTGCACAAGTCTGCATTCCCACAAGCAGTTCTCTGTTCTCCACATCCTCATCAGCAGTTGTCATTTGTTGATATGTTGACCACTTTTTAGATGTAAACACTTGTGTAACCATGACAATAATCAAGATATGGAATGTTCTATCACCCTAACATTTTCCCCAGACTCCTTCACCTCAACTACTGGTCTTTTGGTGAACACTCATTTCAACGAGTCTTTCCTAAGATCACCAGAATGAAGACTTGTGGGGCTCCCATGTTGCATTTTGCAAGTATCATTTCCGTCTTAGCATGACCTAAGATGTTTTATTCAGGGTCCACACTCCAGATTCCAGTTGAATTAAAGAGTGGCTTCTTCCCCAGTCTGAATCATCACCCTTATCCCCAATAATTATGTTTGGAACAAAGTTGAATCTTGCTCACCGCCACCTTGGGCCTGATTTTCTTTCTTACAGAGAAGGGATTTTTATTTTTTTTTATTTTTATTTTTTTAATTAATTTCTTTATTGATAAAGGTATCACATATTTGTCCTCAATCCCCCGAGAAGGGATTTTTAAATGATTATCTGTGCAATCATAGCAATTAGGCGAGCCCCCTCTCAATTGTGTTCCTACTACTCATTCATCAGTGCTAGGTACTATATTAGAGTTATAATCTTACTAATTAAATCTAATCTGCTGCAGAGAGCACTATAAAATCTTACCGTGTGTGTGCTCATTCTGAATATTAATGTTTATTTTAAAGTACCAAAGAATAGAATTTGTTCTGACTCTGAATTTTGTTTAAATTTTTAAGATCTGCCACACTATCATGTTCATTATTGTTTTTGAAAAAAATACACTGTAAATTACCTTCTGTTCTCTCTCCCCATAGTTTAAGGAATATAGCATTACAAATACAACTCTAGCCCCCCTGTCTCTTCCCCGGTTTTTCCTTATCTCCTCACAAAGGTAACTGCTATCTTCAGTTTATTTTCTTTCCCTCTAACATCTATACTCCACTTTTGTTGTTTGTTTCTAAGAAAAAGCTGATATTAATGGTTCTACTTGTGTAAGTTGACAGTAATTTAGTGTACACGTTGTGTACCAGCATAGAGATAGACAGACCAATCTATACTAATAAGACTGGGCATCTTCCGGACATCCCTCCAGACAAAGCCCATGGTGGTGGGGGCCGAGGCATTGGTGGTTAGGGGTGATCAGGCTGTCAGGAGAGGGCAGTTAGAAGTGACCAGGCCAGCAGAGGAGGGAAGTTGGGGCAACGGAGCCTGCAGGGAAGGGCAGTTTGGGGGAACCCAGGCCTGCATGGAAGAGCAGTTGGGGGGACCAGGCCTGCAGGGGAGGGCCGTGGGGAGAAACCAAGCCTGCAGGGGAGGGCAGTTAGGGGTGACCAGGCCTTCAGGGAAGGGCAATTAGGGGCAATCAGGCTGGCAGGGGAGTGGTTAGGGAGTGATCAGGCTGGCAGGCAGAAGCAATTAGGGACAATCAGGAAGGCAGGCAGGCGAGCAATTGGGAGCCAGCAGTCCTGGATTGTGAGAGGGATCCTAGATTGGAGAGGGTGCAGGCTGGCTGAGGGACACACACCACTCCACTTCCCCCCACCCCCCACACGAATTTTGTGCACCAGGCCACTAGTGTCTTATAAAGAACTCCCTAATAGAAAAGTGATCAGAAGACGTTATGAACAATGAATAGAAGAAAAAACTTGAATCCTTAGACAACAAAAGTCACTGAAAGATTTGCATCATAGCAAATGAAGATAGTTGGGTAGGTGTTGGTGTTAGGTTATTAAAGGCAAAGAAAAACCACTTAACTATTTAGTCAGGAGGTTATGAAAATTGGAATTAGTTACTGGGATTATGTGTTCTCTAGTAGGTTGCTTATATTTTCATTTCCATAAAATTTATAATCAAAGGAAAAATAATTAAGATAAATTTATAACCTATAGAAATTACCTAAAATGATCTTTGATCACACTATTGAAGAATGAGTTTTGAGTTTTTTTGTATTTTGATTCATTGAGAACTTTATGTATTTTTAATCTGAAGATTCTATGTTGTCATTATGAAATGTAAATGATTTACTTTTTCAATTTATCTTTAGTTACAATGGAGTAAGCATTTAAAGGCTAAAAACTAATTACAGACTCATGCTACATGGCATATTGTTTACACGTGTGGTGTTACATATGTTCATTTTAGGAGGTTGATTTGTATTTATTTCTATTTATAAAAATGTTTTGTTTTGCCTGGCTGGTGTGGCTCAGTGGTTGAGCGTCCACCTATGAACCAGGGGGTCACAGTTTGATTCCATCAGGGCCAATGCCCAGACTGTGGCTTGATCCCCAGTGTGGGGCATGCCAGAGGCAGCTGATCAATGATTCTCTCTCATCATTGCTGTTTCTCTCTTGCCCTCTTCCTTCCTCTTCAAAATCAAATTAAAAACTTTTGTTTTGACTTTATGTTTTTGTGCAAAAATAGCAGCGGGACTATACCACAAAGATGACTATTAAAATAGTCTATATAACTTCTGATATTTATAGATTATGTGTAGGCAATAACAACTGTTACTGTTCTGCCTTTTGGTCTTGCTAAGGTAACTCCTCCAGATGTGGTTCCAGGACGAAAGGAGAACTATATGTAAGACTGTCCCAGGGGAGGGAGGGGATGAAAGAACTTGGATTTGTTTTAGCATCTAAGCTCCCTTGAGGACAAGCAGGAGAAAAACCCATTGGAGAAGGAAATTAAGGGGAGAATGTAAATCCTATTTAACTTGCTTGCTGATCTTCGCACTGGAAGACAGTATTCATGGTTCAGTTTTTGTTTTAATGACAATAAAATTCAGATCTTTGCTAGTCTTCTTTTTTTTAATATATGTTTTTATTGAGTTTGAGAGAGAGAGAGGAAGGGAGAAGAATAGAAAAATAGAAACATCAATGATAGATCATCATCGAACAGCTTTCTCCTGTGTACACTCCTACTGGGGAATGAGCCTGCAATCCCGGGCATATGCTCTGACTGGGAATTGAACCGGCAACCTCTTTGGTTCCGGGGTTGAATGTCAGAAGAGTGGTCAGTAAGGAGGTTTGAGATGGTCCTTTTACCCATGTGTGTCATGCTCTTGCCACATGGAGAACTGGAGAGTCAGAATAGAAATGGCTTAATGCTTTTGTCCAACTCTGGCATTATTCTACCATGGTTTACCAGTTATATTATTTTTAATATCTGTAGCAAACCATTGACATATGTTTATTTTGTTTTCATAATACTTGAGAGTAATTATAGCTCTGAGGAATTTGAGAAGATAGTGTGGATCTTTTGTGTCTTGCTTTAAGGAGTTTTCATACATGTCCACCAAGAAAAATGAGACTGAAGTGATAATTAAATCTTTATTGTGGACTTTTTTTTATGTTTTTATTTTTTGGTTAATCCTCACCTGAGGATATATATTTTTTTATTCCTATATTATTTTTTTTTAAGTTTCTGTTTTTTTTTTTTAATTTCTTTATTGATTAAGGTATCACATATTTGTCCTCAGCCCCCCATTCCAATCCCCTACCCCTCCCCACTCATACCTCCACCCCCCTATTGTCCTTGACTATTGGTTAGGCTCATATGTATGCACATAAGTCCATTGGTTGATCTCTCCCTTTTGTCCCCACCCTCCCTTTGAGGTCCAACAGTCTGACCCATGGCTCCTTATCTCTGGGTCTGTTCTTGTTCATCAGTCTATGTTGTTCACCATTTCTCCTACATGAGTGAGATCATGTCCTACTGGAAATATACTTACAAGAATAAAAAAATGAGACAAGCAATAATCATGCTGAAAGGCATATGAATCAGTCTGTAGTGAGTTTCTTTCTGGGCCAACAGTTCTTTTGAGACCCAGTGTCAATGTCAAACAGTTCCTTATGTGTACATGTCAGCAATGATATTTCAGTTCTGGATGGTGGACAAAAGTAATGCAGGTCCAACCCTCTCTGGTTTGGTCCTGGGCAACCTGCAGTGATACACAGCTGCTGACTGCTATTATGGCAAGTCTTCCATCTCTGGACTGCTTCTCTTCTGTCTTCATGGTTGGAGTAGTCCTGTCAATTCCTCTCTGTTGCCAGAATCCACATGGTCTCAGAGTTGTTTTCTGAAAATATACAAACATTCTTTACCAAAAGTTAATAAAAAATTTTCTATAAATTTGACTTGGGATCCTTTTTCATTTTTTGCCCAAATGATTTTCCTCTGGCTTGTTATATTTTTTCCATTGACTTTTTAGAGTGATTGGGAGGTGGGGGTGGAGAAGAGGAAATAGCAACATCAGTGTGAGAGACACACATTGATTGGTTGTCTCTGGCACATGTCCCTGACCGGGGATTGAACCTGCAACCAAGGTACACGCCCATGACCCCGAATCAAACCTGAGACCCTTAAGTGCTGGGACTAACATTAACCACAGTGCCATACCAGCCAGGCTATTATGGACTTTTTTTAATTTTTTAAAAAATGCTTTAAAGAAATTCCCCTTGCCCAACTGTGAATAGCATACTCTTGTATGCCAGAAAAAACAACAGGTTTATAATTTGGGTTTACAATTTTTGTTTCATTATGAGCAATCATTTTCCTTTTCTTTTTGAAGGTGACATGGAAAGCCCTGTGATTGCCTTTCCCCTGATCCTAGGAATAGAAGCCTGCATTGAAAAGCTCTTCACGTACTCTTTTTCTTGGAATTTTGAATGCTCACAGTGCGGACACAAGTATCAAACCAGGTTCGTTTTTTTATTTTTAAAAATGGATTCATTCTATTGAAAATGGTTTTAAGTAACCAAATTTGAATAAAGCTTGTTTCTGCTTACAACACCTCTTTCTCGATGGCTGCTTCTACCCTTGATAAAACTCCCCACCACTAAGGTTAAAAGGAAGAATTTGAGCCCCAGAAACTGCAGTTTGCTTGCTTCTTTAAACTGGAAGAAAACCCATGGTTTGATAGCTTACCAGTGGGAGTTTGCTTAAGGTTTTCAGTGGTGAGTGGGACAAATGGGAAAAGTAGAACCATCCTCTCCAATCCTTTGTGAATTCCCTGCTGAGTAATATTACCTCTCAGAACCCCTTGAAACTGTGTTTTTATTTACTATTCTGATAGAGACCAGGTTTTTGTTTATGTTTTTAATATGGAAACTTATTTTGGTCTCCCAGGGTTTGGCAACAGCTCTCAGAGGTAGCAGGTGCTTTCCTGTACCTAACCTTATTCCCTGAAAGACCATCTAGCCCCCAGAATCCTCCATATACTCTGTCAGCTATACTTTGCACTTCCCTGCCACCTATTGGAGGGGTCATGGTTGGTGTACATGGCCCTGCGATTAGTACTTATGAGCAGGCTGGAGAAGAAAGCAACTGCAGGATTCTTTTGCTTCCACACACCTACCACATAATGCTGGAGATTAGGTTTTAGAAGAGGTGTTATAGGGAGAGAAAGTTTCCATCAGACAGGATACCCTCACTTTGTCAATATATGAGAAAGTTGCTAACTGAAGGTCGAAAAGATTACCAAACTGGTTCTGTTAGTCATTTATTCAAAAATTTTTAATAGAGATAAATCCTTTCTCATTTCTTAAACTCACCTACTTAGTAAATTAGAAAATTTGAAGTCTTTCAAAATTATTTGTTAAAATGTGAGAAGAAAATGTTATTTAGATGTTTATTATCTAAATTGAGGTTATCCTATATAATAAAAGTCTAATGTGCTAAGTGTCTGGTTGTCCATTCAACCAACCAAAGGATAATATGCTAATGATGCGCCAAGGCCGCTCAACCACTTTCTGTAACATGCACTGACCGCCAGGGGGGCAGATGCTCTGGCTGGTTGGTTAGCTTGCTGCTGGGGTCCGGCTGGTCTGGGCTGAGTGAGAAGAGCTGGACATGCCCTGGAGCCTTCCTGTAGTCCAGTCCCTCTCTGGCTGCCCAACCTCCTGTCCCACCCCACCCTAATCATGCATCGGTGGGGTCCCTTGCCCTGGCTTGCACCCTCTTGTAATCTGGGACGCCTCTGGGGATGTCAGCCAGTTTCGGCCCAGTCCTGTTCAACGCAGGAGCTACTCCCTGATGGTCAGTGAGCTCCCATATGGTGAGTGCCACTCAGCCCGAAGCTGGGCTCACGGCTGGTGAGCGCAGCAGCAGTGGTGGAAGCCTCTCCTGCCTCCATGGCAGCACCAACGATGTCCAACTGCTGGCTTAGGCCTGCCCCCGGACATCCCTCAAGGGCTCCCAGACTGTGAGCAGGTGCAGGCCAGGCTGAGGGACCCCCTGCCAAGTGCATGAATTTCATGCACTGGGGTCTCATTTTTTTTTTTAAATATATTTCAGGATCAGTTGAAAGTAAAGTCTATGAGAGAATAATCTAGGCCCGTTGTTGGCATATTATGGCTCACAAGCCACATGCGGCTCTTTGGTCCCTTGAGTGTGTCTCTTCCATAAAATACCACGGCCTGAGCAAGTCTATTTTGAAGAAGTGGCATTAGAAGAAGTTTTTAGTTTAAAAAATTTAACTCTCAAAAGAAATTTCAATCGTTGTACTGTTGATATTTGGCTCTGTTGATTAATGAGTTTGCCGACCACTGATCTAGGGAATGCAAGCAACAGAACCAGAAAACTTTTTTGTTTTTGTTTTTACCAGCTAGCTCGAAAGTACTAGAATAGAATTTCACTCATACCTAGAACTTATATAATTTTGTGTAAGTGAATGAGTATGTGAACAAATATTTGTTTCCTGATCTTCTATCATTGATTTATATAAATTATCTCATTTTCTTTCCATATGGCAAATGTGGAAAGTGGTTATTTAAAAAGATGTCTAAGGGGACACATTAACTAGTAATTGGTAGAATTCAGGCTTAAGTTTTCTGGCCTCTGATACTTTCTTGCTCACTGTGGTAAACTCCCTAATCACAACCTGGATTTTACATAATATAAACAAGCTTGATGATTAAAATCAACTCAATTCTAGCTTTTCTAAAATCTATATCTCAGTTTGACAGTTTTTCATAGAATATATTCTGTGTGCCAGGAACTCAACTTGGCTTGGCCAAATTCAGATTAGTTAGGGAGATAACAGGTAAACATGTAACAGAGGGTCAGAGACTTCATAAATACTTTGAGCTGTTGGCTGCTTTAAGTTACTTTGAAGATGTGGTGATAAATGCATTTGGAGGTATATAGAGAAAACTCTTGAGAATTCAAGGGAAAGAAGCCACTTTGCTTTTCTTTTTTAAAATTCCTTTGTTCTAAAAATAAAAGTAGAGCCCTAGCCAGTTTGGCTCAGTGGATAGAGCCCTCGGCCTGAGGATTGAAGGGTCCTGGGTTTGATTGCGGCCAGGGAACATGCCCAGGTTAAGAGCTTGATCCCTAGTGTTGAGGCAGCCAATCCTTGCAGGAGGCAGCCAATCAATGATTCTCTCTCATCATTGATGTTCCTATCTCTCCCTCTCCCTTCCTCTCTGAAATATATATATATATATATGTGTGTGTGTGTGTATATATATATATATATATATATGTGTGTGTGTGTATGTGTGTGTGTGTATATATGTATATATGTATATATGTATATATATATATAATTTAAAAAGTAGATATAGAGGAAAAGCTAAAGTGAAATGGTATTTCATGAAATAAATTTTAATATTATGGGTTAAAACTTACACTTAATCTGCTGGAAGAATATCCTGTTTTTAGTGCTGGTTTAAGAGCTTTAACTTGATTTAAAAGGTATGTCCTGGTGTTAAACACATGGTCTACTGAGTCAGATTCCCTGGATTCCGATCTCGGGTTTGTCTACCATGTGATGTGCATTTGGCATTTTACTTTCCTTATCTGTACAATGGGGATAAGAAAAACACCTGCTGTGGGAGTTGTTTGAAAGAGGAGAGCTTGGCACAATGCTCTGCAGAAATGTTGGGTGTCATATGGAGCATTAACACTTCTTTGCTGAAACAAATTCTGTTTTATAAACTAAGAAATCAGAGCCTTTACTTAACAGTTATCTTTGAGAACCAAAAATTTAGCAAAACTACATATGATGCATTTGTTGATCCCTTTATGCTGCTTTGCTTTTAAAGTGTTAGCTTCCCTGAGAGTGTTGCAGTTAACAGCCTGTGCTTATCTTTATCTCACTTGTGATTTATCAGTATTTGTTATTGTTTAGAACAGACACTGATGTCCCTTAGGTAGTAAATAATTGTTCTTTTGAAAACAAGTTTTATTAAATCGAATGCAGATAAAGTGCAATGTACATCTTTAAAGATCATTGTTTTAGATGCCTATTGCTCTGAAGTATTCAGGCCGAAGTGTACATTTAGAACTTGTATAACCTATGAAAACAAAATTATTTCATAACTAATGTTCTAACTTTTTAAGGATCAAGAAAATTAAGTTACTGTCACATTATTTTTTGGCTGCCAAAAAATACAATATCACCCTAAATGGCTCAGTTGCTTAAGAGTGTCGTCCTGTAGATTGGAAGGTTGAGAGTTGTGGGTTATAGGAAACAACTGATTGTTTCTCTCTAAAATCAATAGAAACAATATCTTTGGGTGAGGATTAAGAAAAAGAGGAAGAAAATTGAGTTGTATTCCTGACTCTCTATTTGGAAATGCCACTTTTGTTTTTGGGAGTCACAATCTGATAGCCAGATTGTGAATTTTTTGAGTAAGGGGTACAGCTCTTATAATACATTTGAGAGCTTAGGACAGTGGGTCTCAACTAGGAATGACTTTGTGTGCCGTAGGTGGGACATTCAGCAATGTCTGGAGGTGCTGGGGGCTGTTACTGGCATGTATAGTGTGCAGAGGTCAAGCATGGCATAGTGCACAGGACAGGCCCCACAACAGAGGAGTGTGCAGGGCTCTTGTCAGTGGCACTGCTTTTGAGAAACCCTCCCTGTCTCTAACATGTTCTTTTTCTCATAGCTGAAAGGTGATAGGTAATTCATGTAGAGTCTTCACAAAGTGTTTTACCAGGATTAGGAAGCAACATCCAGCCTATTTATTATATGTTTTGGGGGATAGGTTAAATATGAATAAACAAGTGAAGGAAAGTACCATTTATTTTAATAACTTTCTTTTTTTAATTCTCACCCAAGGATATGTTTTTACTGATTTCTGGGAGGGAGGGAGATCTATGTGAGAAAGAAATATTGATTGGTTGCTTCCTGTATGAGGGAGGGAGGGAGGAAAGGAGGGGGGAGGGGGGAAGGGAGATGTGAGAAAGAAATATTGATTGGTTGCCTCCTACATGCACCCTGACAGGGAATTGAACCTGAAACCTTTTAGTGTATGGGAATACATTCCAACCAACTAAGTCACTTGGCCAGGGCAGTACCTTCTATTTTAGACATTGATTTAAATTAACATGAATGAATTTAATGTAAATAAGTTTTTGCCCCCCCCCCTTTTTTTTTTTAGCTGTACGAAGAATCTGGTCACCTTTACAGATCTTGTTCCTGAGTGGCACCCACTTAATGCTGCCCATTTTAGTCCCTGTGGCAATTGCAACAATAAGTCACAAATAAGAAAAATGGTATTGAAAGAGTGAGTAAAAATTAATTTACCAATTTTAAAATAAAACGAAGGTGTATTTACATATTTTTTTAATGTGTAGTATTGAAAGTGATGACTACAAACTACTTTTCAGGAGTTTAGGTTAACACATATTTATGAATTGCCAAAATGCTTTTCTGTTAGGAACTTTGGCCAACAAGCAAGCTGTCTCCTAGGTGAAATGCCACTGAACAGCGCACTCGGTGATTATCTGACCCCACTTCCTATGTCTTTTGTTCTTCTGCCTTTTTCTCCCTTTACAAATATTAAACATCAAATTTTTTCTCTTCTGCCAAGTGCCTGCAGTCACTAGAATTCTGGCACTTCCTTAATCTAATTTCAAAGAACTCGTGATTCAGAGATGAGCTATAAGTTCATCAGTCTGAATTTCCATCGCCCAGACCTTGGCCTGCTGATTCCTCATCCTCTTGTAAGCTTTCTGCTGCCCTTAAGCAGCTGTCTTATATAATGTTCTGCCAGCTTTTCTATTTATTCTCAGTGGGAGGACTGGTTAGAATTACCTTTTCCAGTGGCACCAGAAGCCCCTTAAACTCACAGGCTAATTCCATTTTAGGTAGTTTATCTTTTGTCAGTATGCTCACAAAGGTGTAGTTCCTCTTTAATCTTCATTTTCTGTTGCCCTCATCTCTAACTCTACAATCAGAAAATGTTCCCATGAGAAAAAGAATTGGGAAATCAAATGAATGATAATTTAGTGGGTTCACATCTGCTACTTTTCTTTAAGTAACTTGTTTGGGAATTCCATTTAGAGCATGGTGGTGACATAGAGCACCAATTTAGAATCTGATCTAATTTTACTTCACCGACTCTTAAAAAAATTTTTTTTTAATTCTCATCTGAGGATATTTTTTCCATTGATTTTTTTCCAGAAAGGGTGAAAGAGAGGAAGGAAGGGGAGGGAGAGAGGAAACTGACATAAGAAAGACACATCAATTGCTTGCCTCCTGCAAGCGCCCCAGTTAGGGCTGGGGGTCAAACCAGCAACCAAGGTATGTATGTACCCTTGATCAGGAATCAAACCCGCAACTTTTGTTCCACGGGCTGACACACTAACCACGGAGAAAATAGGCCACAGCTTCACCAACTCTTGAAATGACCATCTCATTTTCATTACTACCATGATCTTTAGTAGTCTGGTCATACACTCTCCTGGATTGTCATCTGAAAAGCATATTTACTTAAGTTTCAGTTTTAACATATTTTTTTTTAACTGTTTATAAAAGATAGATGAAAATCTCTTTTTTTCCTACAAAACTTTGGATGGAACACTGATATATTAAATAGATAAAATTATGTTTCTTAATTGAACTTTTCATTGTTTGGTAGAAAATGCTTTATTATTTTTATGAGATCCCCTTGAACTACCTCGAAGAACATATTTGAAAACCCTTGTTGAACTGTTGAAATTTTCTAAAGATATATTTTCTTGTTTACCATTAACATGAACCAATTCTAAATATTTGAATTACACCTGATTTTATTCAGATTTTTTATTTTTGTTAATCTGAAATAATTCAATGATGTAATATATCTAAAATGTAATGATGTTTTAAAATTACATTTGCAGACTTTTTTTTCTGTCTAAAATCTACATTATTATAGTTCAGAAGTAATAAATTTACATTTTCTAAAATATGAATTATTACGTTAGTTGGGGTGAAAGTTAAAAGCTTGTACTCCAGGACATTTGCATAAGACCATGGCTGTTCTGTGTGGATCAGAGACTCAGTATCCTCTGCTGTCTTTGGTAGCAGAGCAGGGCAGATAGAACAGTCCCTGTGTGCTTCCTTTCTCTCTTTTTCTGTTTTCTCTTTGTGAGGGTTGATCCTTATTCTAGGAGGAGTTTAGGGAAGTGAATGCAAATGGATCTTAGCTTGAATTCTCCTGGTTCCAGTTCCCTTAACTCTCCCCATCCAATTTTCTTATGCTTGACCCAGAATCTGACTTGCTATTTTCAACTCTGAGCATCATCTTGATACTCCAAGCATGTGGATAGGAAGGAGCCTGAGAACAAAATCTGTTGCTGCCTACGGGTAAACTTTACCCTCACATGAAAGACTGGAAATGAGACAAGCTTAAATCATGGGGAGGAAAATACTCTTGTAGGGACACTAGAATCTGGTGGAACTACAAGGAAAATAAACTGAAAAAAGGGGAGGAGGCATATACTTTATTTATTCCAGCATGCCATCATTTATAAGTTGTACTGTTTTTTAAATATGCCATTAAGAAAGAAATGCTGCCTAGTTAACATTTTCCATGTGTAAACTCACACTACTGAGATTTTGAAGTCTAGGGATCAACAATAGTAACTAGCCTTAGAAGATAACTTGAACAAGTATCAGAAGACCAAGAGAGAACTAAATATTACCGTGTTTCCCCGAAAATAAGACATCCTCCGAAAATAAGACCTACTTAAAGGTTTCCTTCTGAGTGAAATATAAGGCATCCACTCCGAAAATAAGGCCCCCCTAGGCTAAACATGAGAGATTTGGTCCACTGATTCTGAAAGAAATGGAGTCACAAGAAATTCACCAGGAAATTCAGGAATTGGATTGTTATGATGATGTTCCAGAAGATGACGACATGATTGTCATTGAATAAATGAGTAAATTCTTGATACTGTAGGACTCCCAGTTTGTCTGGTTTATGTTGACAACTACTGTACTTCTGTACCGTATACAGGTAATAAATTTCCTTTATTTTCATTAGCCATAAATTTGTACCATATTCTTCTTCATGGAAAAATAAGACTCCCCTGAAAATAAGACCTAGTGTATCTTTGGGAGCAAAAATTAATATAAGACACTATCTTATTTTCGAGGAAACAGGGTAGTACTTACAGAGTCAGGCAGGTGCCTATAGCCTGTCTTTCCAGCTGTGAGAATATATCTCTAGTTTTACTGTGGATGGTTGATTCAAAGATACACTCTTATATTTTAACATACTTGAAATGGAATACATCTAAATTGTTACAATTTAATTGCAGTATTATTTTATAGTAGTACATTTTACAATTAGTGGCATCTTAGATTAATGAAATAGGTCAATGGGAGTTGAGCGTTATGGATAGTTTTGCAGCACTTTTTACTTGTAGGTACTTAAATTTTGGAGATTTCATTATTTTCTAACCATGATTGACAACATATAATTTACAAATTGTCCTTATCAGTCTGAATAATTGGTTTTTTAGACATTGATTCAAGTACTTTTCAACTGAAAAAAATTTTAAACTAAGCCGTTTAAATATTCCTTAAATTTTTCTTAAATCCTGAGAGCTTTATTAAATTTAGTTACTTGAGCGTCATCTTGAGTTCTGTTTTCTGGCTAGCCATGTTTTTGTAATGATGTATTTTTGATATGCATATCTTGACGTTTATAGTAGATTAACCAGTATCTTGTATTTTCTTCTACTTAGTTACAAATTAAACTTTTCCTAAATGGAGATTTTAATTTCATGGGCCTCTGTACTTCCTGAGATAATGAAGATGTTAGCATGTTGGGGTTTTTAAATGTTTATTTGAACATCTTGGGCTTGTTACTTTGTTTTACATATTACCTAGCTCCTCTAACAAAAGCAGTTATTTGAGTACTTGATGCCAAGAAAATTCCAATAGGTCTGGAGTTTTCCTTTGATTCTACAAAATAGTTACCAAGAGATTATCTTCTCCTTCTCCCTTCTTCTTCCTCTTCTGCCTCCTCTTCTTCCTCTTTCCCCCCTTTTTCTTCTTCTTCCTCCTCTACCTTCTTCCTTCTCTTCCCTCCCTGGCTTCACTCCTCCTCCTCTTCCCCCGTAATCATCGTTTTCTACCAGGATCGAGACTATAGCCTGGACATATGCCCTGACTGGGAATTGAGCCAGCAACTTTTTGATGCACAGGACAATATATACCCATTCAACTAAGCTACACTGGCCAGGGCCCAAGAGATCTTTAAGCTGAAGCAGCGCCACGGTTTACAGAGCAATTTTTGTTTAATGGTCTTTGGCCTTATTGCGTAGTAGTTTCCAACTGTCAGTGATCTCATTCTGAGAAGGGTTTAAACATTACCCATGTCTTAAGAGTTCTCCATTTTTAATGAAGGCTCAAGAAGAATTAGTGTGGTTTGCCTTGAAAGCACTGTGTGACTTACTATCTCCAGACCATCTTTTGTATTACCAGGTACATTGTTTGATCCCTCTTGCCTTTTTCTCCCACAGAATGTCTCCCATATTCATGTTGCACTTCGTACAAGGCTTACCACATACCAACTTTCAACACTACTCCTTTCTTTTTGAAGGCTGTTTTTATCAAATAACTTCTGTAATTCAGTACCATGCAAATAATCATTTTATAACGTGGATTTTATGTGTTGATGGTAAGTGTTAAAAATTTTTTTCTTTTATGATAATACTAGAGGTCCAGTGCACAAATTCGTGCATGGGTGGTTGGTGGGCTGGCCCCGCCCTCATTTGGGTTGTTGGGGGCCGATTAGGGACTGGGCCAGCCAGGGGAGGGGCCAGTCAGCATATTTATGTGCACACATACGCATAAGCATGTTTCTTTTTTAGACAAAAAATGAGATCAGATAATACCAATGGTTTACAGTTTGCTATTTTCCACTTAATATCTTTGTTTTTATTATTTTTTTTATTATATGAGTAATATATGTTCAGTATAGAAAAATGGATGGTGGTAATTTGGTTTTTTAGATATATAACCTTGTATTTGTAAAGAAAGTACAGCTAAAGGTTTTTAATTGAGAATGAACCAAAGGTTCGCGTTTTACTTACTTTGTAATTGTTACTTACTTTGTAATTTGTATATAATTTACTTTTATATAAATAAAAGTAAACATCTATTTCTGAAACTATTAGACATTATAAACTGTGTAGTCTTCTCTCTCTGTGAAATAGTTTGCTGAACAGCTTCAGTCAAGGTAAAGCCTTCACTTAAATAAACTTTTTAATAGAAGGATAAATAATACAACTCATGGATTTTGCTAATTTTCCCCTTTCATTTACCTGATATTTCCTTCACAATATTCACTTTGTCTTAGACAAGACAACTCAGTCCCCTTAAAATGTTCTATCGGGCCGTTGATATTTTTTTATTTTTCTGTTGTCTATATTTGATATTTTCCTTCTGGGATGGTTTGGATGGGTGACACTATAATGTGTTATAAAAGTACTTTGCCAACTAAGGCTTGCATTATCAATGTAATTAATTACCTTAAAGTTTTACCCTACTTCAGAATTTGGAGGAAGTTGTTTTCAATAGTAAACAAAAACTCAAAAAACCATTTACTTCAAAGTTTTATTGTATTCCAGGGGAGAAAAAAATCCTCTGTAGGTAAAAGAGGTTAAATGGTTTCCAGCCTTGACAGCATATAAAAATCATGGTTAGCTTATTAAAGATGTCTTGGTTCTCCTCTAGATCTCTGGGGATTGGGCCCAAATATTAATCAGGTGTTTCTTATGTGCACATTACTAAGACAAACAAAAGATTCTCAAAGTTTTTATGGGTATAGATTGTGAAATAATGTGTTCAGGTAGTTTATGAGGGTGTACTAGTATTCACATAAACTTAGTGAATGGTTTTGATTGGGGTGGATTTGTGTGTCGAGGGGGTTCACCTCTTCTCTTATATTCATCATCCCATTCCCTCTTGACAAATGAGAAAACTTAGGTTCAGAAATAAAAAGTAGACACCTCCCTTCCTAAGCTTTTTAAAAAAAATAAAAGAAAAAATAAATAAAAGAAAATAAGAATTGGAACAAATGTCAGTACTTGAGGAAACAGCTTCATTTATCTTGAGGACTCATATATATGGGAAAAATCTGTTTTCTGATTTTGTTGGATAAATTAGGTGATACTGTATTCTAAGTCTCAAAAGTTAAATATTTGTCTGTCTTGAATTTTGCATTTCAAGAAAGAGTAAAAATTCTTTTTCAAATTTCTCAATGTCAGTCCATAACTTTCATTATCCAGTAAGGACTTAGACACTTGACAGGGAAAAATAGTGACAGGAGGATATGGTCATGTTTTCTATTATGCTCTTTGGTAGATGTTCAATGATATAGCAGTTTTAGTGGCCAGAAGAAAGTTAACCTAGGGTGGTGGTTTTAAATGTCTGACCTTTCATTTTCTCCGTCATTCCCCAGGAAGTTGGCTGGAATGTGATGACCTAAAAGGCCCATGTTGTAAAAGGTATAAGGAATTTGAATGTCCTGCTTCAGAGATACATATTGTTATTTGGGAAAGAAAAACAGCCCAAATGACAGATAAAAAATCTGCCTGTCCTTCACTTCAAAAGACTAATGATCAGCACGCTTTCAGTGATGAGACACAGCCACCTCCAGCAGTGCATTTTATGGGAGATGCTTCCTCAGCTGAAAAACCTTCAGGAACGGCCTCCCAAAATACATCAGTTACTCCTAATACTCTTTGCCAGGATAAAGCTGTAGCTCATCAGCCTCATTTACTTTCAGTTCCAAAAGGTTTGATTGGCAATGATATTATGCCTTCAACACTTGAAAAAGTACAGGCTAACTCTGAAGGTTTCCTATTAGAAAATACACCTGTGGCAGAAAATGGAGTAGTCATCAAAACAAATACTTTGCAACCGCAAGAGTCACTAATGGCTTCTTTAGTATCAGTTCCATGTAAGGAAAAGTTTATCCAAGACCAATTTGTAGACTTAAGGTTTCCTTCTCCGATTATAAGTACAAGCATGCAGTCAATACAGTCAAATTCAGAAAATACTATAATTACTAACTCTATGACTAATGTCCATGCTACTGATCCTATACAGGGAGTAAAGTCAGTAGAAATTGAAGGTACAGTTGCCCTAGAGAAGGATGTTCCTGTCAATCATTTTCTTTCACCAAAAACTGAGAAATTAAAAACAGAACAACACGTTACATCTCAGATATCTAATTTGAAGAGAAAATTTTCTCAAACCATTGCTGAGTCATCACAGAACCCATCTCAGAAAGAAAATCTGAAGAAACCATTTATGGGAAGTTGGGTTAAAGGCTTATTAAGCAAGGGTGCTTCTTTTTTGCCACCTTGTGTTTCAGCTCATAATAGAAATGCTATAACTGATTTACAGCATTCAGTTAAGGGGGCAAGTAATTTTGGTGGCTATAAAACTAAAGGTGTGAACCAGAAGGCTCACCGGGCATCCAGGAAACCTCGTGCAAGTAAGCCTTCTCCAGCCAGTAACCCTCCACCAAGTCTTCCATCATCAGGTAGCGTGGCTTCTTCACATGCTGATGTTAATGCTGACCTGGAAGTTTTGAAGAAACATGAAAATGCCTCATATGGCGTTCACCTCAACCACAGATCTGGTGGAAACGAAAATGGTGTTTCTTTAGCAAACCATGAAGACTCCAGTGAGGATCAGATTCATAAACTTCGTCTAAAACTTCTTAAAAAACTTAAGGCAAAAAAGAAGAAATTAGCTGCTCTTATGTCTTCCCCCCAACATGGAAAACTCCCAAGTGAAAATTTAGAGCACGTTTCTCATTGTGGGTCTCCAAATGATGGCCAGTCAATAGAAGATGTGTTAAAAGAACTGCAATATCAAATTGGGATTACTGATAATAAATATGGAAGAACCACTGCTGCTAGTGTTTCTTCATATAGTGGTCAAACTCATGAAGAAATTTTAGCAGAATTATTGTCTCCAACTGTTTGTACAGAACTCTCAGAAAATAGGGAAACTGACTTTAGATATTTAGAAATGGAAAATAACCATATCCCAGCACCAGTACCTACTGAATTAAATGGTATTCTCCCAAACACACACCTGAGACAGGAACATAATTATTGTAGCCCTACCAAGAAAAATCTTTGTCAAGTTCAGCCAAACCCAGTAACAAATAATGAGTGTGATAGAACATTGAACTTGGAAAGTTCCCTGAAGACTGATGTTTTTGATGAGTTTTTTTCCACTTCAGCATTAAATTCTTTAGCAAATGACACATTAGACTTGCCTTTTTTTGATGACTATCTGTTTGAGAGTTGTTGAATGTTTATTAACGCTTTAATATTTATTATTGTCTTGGAAAAACTTATTATGTTCTTGAGTAGTGTTATACATTGGCCTTGTCATGATCAAAATGTAAGCAGCTGAAGGTTTTGCCTTCATTTCTGCCCATAAAGCTTGTAATTTGTTTTACAAATTAAAATGACCAGAAATCTGTTCTCGTCAATTTCATTTTGTATTTATAAGACAATGAGGATTTCAAAATGTTAAATATGAAAAGTGGTGTCTAGTTTCTGGCAATTTGTGTAGTTTGGGTACATTAAGTTTCTACATTTCTCAGGAAAAACTAGTTTATATAAATTTAAGTCACTGTATATGTATATGATTGTGTGACTTTTTAAAAAATATATTGATTTTTTACAGAGAGGAAGGGAGAGAGAGCTAGAAACGTCGATGAGAGAGAAACATCGACCAGCTGCCTCTTGCACACCCCCTACTGGGGATGTGCCCGCAACTAGGGTGCATGCCCTTGACTGGAATCTAACCTGGGACCCTTCAGTCCACAGGCCAACACTCTGTCCACTTGAGCCAAACCACTTAGGTCTATTTTATAAATTACAAAAATGTATGTTTATTGGAAGGGAAAATACAGAAATACCAACATTTTGGATTATCCATCTTCATACTTGGTGGTAATAACTACAAACATTTTCATATTTTTATGCATATGGACTGTAAGAAATAAAAGTGACTATTTGTGCCTAGTTGATCTATTTTTAAAATATATTTTATTGATTTTTTACAGAGAGGAAGGGAGAGAGATAGAGAGCTAGAAACGTCGATGAGAGAGAAACATCGACCAGCTGCCTCTTGCATGACCCTACCGGGGATGTGCCCGCAACCAACGTACATGCCCTTGACCGGAATCGAACCCGGGACCCTTCAGTCCGCAGACCGACGCTCTACCGCTGAGCCAAACCGGTTTCGGCTATTTGATCTATTTTTAATGTTTAGTGAGCCTTTTTTTCCATCTTACAGTTTTTGACAATTTTTGGATAGTCATGTAATATTACCTTTTTATTTATTTTTTCGCCCATCTTTAGATATTGAGGTCATTTGTAATGTTTTATCATTAATTGTGCTATAAGGATTATCCTTGTTGATAAATTTTTGCACATATTTAGGTCTTTATTTCCTGGGTGTGGAATTGCTCGGTCAAAGGATATGTACTTTTAAAAAGTCTTAATTGTACAATTCACTTTAAAACTTTTTTTAAAAACCTAAGCTACTGAAGGTTTTACCTTTGGTTTTCCTTGAGAGTTGTTAAATGCTTGTTAACTCTTATTAGTTTAATACTTATATTTGTCTTAGAAAAACTTACTATGTTTTAGGTAGTGTTTATAATACACTAGCCTTGTCAAGAACAAAATGTTCTTGAACTCTTACCAACACAAGGTAGTAGCATTGATGGAGGAAAACTCTTAGCTGTTTTTGTTTACACTTCCATGATTACTAGCAAGATTGAATATTTTATATAACTTTATTGGCCAGTTGAGTTTCTTTGAGGAATTGCCTATCCATCCTTTTCCTCTGCTCAATGCTAATGTACTGTTGTAAACCTTAGAGATAAATTAGGAAAGGAAAAAAAAAGTAAATGAAAGAAATTTTTGCCCTTTTGGAGTTTTACCTTCTAAATGAGGAGATACTTTTATAATATTAGGTGGTAATAGGAGATGAGTACAGTCAGGTTTTTTTGTTTCCTTTTTTTTTTTTTTTTTTTTTATAATTCTGTTAAATTCACCATTAATGCTGAGCCATTGCTCCTAGGGGAAATAGAAGGTTAGGTTTTTGTGAGCCTCTAGTTAACATCTTTGTCAATTGGTCAACAAATAAGGTTGTTATTTGTGTGTTTCCGTTTAAAGAGATCTTATTTAATATTGTGGTTCCTTCCCAAGCTGCAGATAGTACCAACTCCTATATGGACTTTTTCCCTATACATACAAATCTTTGATAAAGTTTATGGCTTCTCCAGCACATCTGAATTGCAGCATCATTGCTCTTGCACTTTGGGGCCATTTATACTAATAAAGGGTAATATGCTAATTGACCAGTTCAACCAGAAATCTTCTGGACGTCCAATGTTCTTCAAGTTAGTTAGGAGGCGACGGGGGAGGGGGGGGCGTTAGGAGGGGGGCAGTTGGGGTGCTATCAGGCTGGCAAGCAGAGGCAGTTAGGGGTGATCAGGCAGGCAGGTGAGTTAGGGGTGATCAGGTAGGCAGGTGAACAGGAGCCAGAGGTTCTGAATTATGAGGAGGGTGTCCTAGATTGGAGAGGGTGCAGACCAGGCTGAGGGACACCCCCACACACACACACCCCATTCATGAAATTTGTGCACCTGGCCTCTGTTAAAAGTTTCCTCTAACAAAACACTGATACCAAAACAGTTGATTTGATAACTGAGATGACTACTAAGTGACTGATGGATGGGGAACATCTGCAGCATGGAGACACTGGACAAAGGGAAGATTTATGTTCTGAGCAGTGGGATGGTGCAAGATTTCATCAAGCTATTCAGAACAGCTTGCAATTTAAAATGTATAAACTTTAATTCTGGAAATTTCTATTTAGTAATTTTGGACCATAGGTAACGGCAGAAAGTGAAAACACATAAGGTGAGATTGGGGGGTGGGAGGGTGTGATACTAATGTATATGTTGTTCTATTGACACAAACCCAATAGAACTAACTGATGTGAACAAAGCTTGTCTAACCTTTTTTCTGTATTTTCTCTCAGGCACATCACACCTCGCACTTAGAAACACTGGACAGCACTTTAGCACTACACTTGGGAGCCATTTTAAACAGTGGAATCACCAACAAAAAACAAAAAAAGTGAAAAATATACTGTAAAAAGGAAAGTATAAGAACTAAAAGGCAGTGTTGACTTGTTAGACCTCAGCTAGGAACATAAGTGTTGGGCAACTCAACATTTTTCTAAATTTTAGAAAGGCAAACTCACAAATATAAAACCTGTGAATAATAATGAGAAGAAAAGTGGGTGGTGAGTTGGGAGGACTATTTTATACCCAGTGGACTTGAAAGGATTCTTGGAGGTGGGGACTTTGAGCAGGGACTTCAATGAAGTTAAGGAGTTACCTTTGTGACTGGGATGAAGAGAACAAAAGTCCTGAGAGTAAGGATACTTGGCATGAATGAGGACAGAGAAAAGGCCAGTGTAGTTGAGCAGAGTGAGCAAGGAAGTTAGAAAATGAAGTTAAGGAGGTTGATGGAAGCTAGATCTTGTATGGCTCTGTGGGCTAAATTGAGGCCCCTCTCTGCACATGAGAATAATGGGAAGCCACTGGTGGTTTCAGGCAAGGGAGTAACATGATCTAGTCTGAACTATAAAAGGGTCACTGAGAGAGGAACCAAGATGGCGGCATAGGTAAACACCTAAACTGCAGCATAGCACAAAAATTTCAAAAATTCAACTGAAAGCTAAAACAGACATTATCCAGAACTACAGGAAAGCTGACTGACTGGAAATTCTACAACTAGAAGGAAAGAGAAAACCACAAGGAAAATGGGAGGAGCTGTTAAAGCCTAAGGTATGGAGATGGGCGTGCGCATGCGGAAAGGACGGAGCCAGAGAGGACAGGGCGGCTGAGTGCCTGGCTGGCATTCCCTAGCAGGAAGGAGATAAAAGCTCCGGACTGCACTGAACCCCAGTTCTGGGTGAGACCCTGGGGACCCACGCTCATACTGGGGAATCTGGGCTGTAAGGCAAAAACTCAGTGGAGTGGCAAAAGGCAGATCTCCGGAGATGCGCACGTGAATGTGCGCAGAGGATGGACTGTTGACTGCTGCTGGATTGCTTTAGCGGGAAGGAGAAAAGCTCTGGACTGTGCTGAACTCCAGTTGTGAACCCCAGCTCCAGGTGAGAATCTGGGAATTCAGATTCACTGGGGGAGAGACTACACTATCTGGCAGCAGGCGAAACTCAAGGGCGCCTTTCTCTCAGAGGTGCTTGCAGCAATAGGGCGGGGCTGACGGGAAGCCAAGGCTGTAGGCTCCACCCTGAAACTCCGCCCCAACCAAGCTGAGTACAGAGGCTTTTGCAATTTTCCAACTCTAGTTGAATAAGGCTGTCTCCCGGCATAGACACAGCTGATCCTCCCAGCCAATTTGCCTGGAGGTCAACTCCTCCAAGTGATAATAAAAAAAAATCAAGACTTAACTACAACAAGGCTGTACACACAATCCACAAAGGGGTGCACCAAGAGTAACGGGAGGCCCAGCCACTGGCCCATATAAGACACCTACCGCACAAAGCTACTTTACCAACTCAGGGAAGCAGTGAAAATGCAGAGACAAACAGGTCACAAATGAAATAAATGGAGGAAAACAAACAACTAGAGATAGAGTTCAAAACAAAAGGTTATAAGGTTTTTCAAGAATTTCCTAGAAAAGGCCGATAAATTTAGCGAGACCCTCAGGATATGGAAAAGGACCAACTAGAAATTAAACGTGCACTGACTGAAATAAAAAATATTATACAGACACCTAACAGCAAACTAGAGGAACACAAGAATCAAGTCAAAGATTTGAAATACAAAGAAGCAAAAAACAACTGGAAAAGCTAAAAGATCAATATCAGGTTTTGGGGGGATTTTTTTTGGAGGGGAGTATCCAAAATGTATTTTCCAACTGTCAGCATCAGCAGGTTTTCTCCATGGATCATACATTCACAAGGTATAACAGTGAGAAAGTATCCAGTGTGACCTCTAACTACAATATATCTACTTCACCATGTAAACAGGTACTAATATTGTGTTCACTTACAATTCCAGAAGGAAAGGCACAACTTGGAAAATACATATTTTTTATCCTAAAGTCAGGTAAAATAACTCAGAGACCAACTTTTGATATGTTTTGTTTTTTTAAATCAAGATATTTTTCCACTGATTTTTAGAGAGAGGGAGGGACAGAAAAATATCGATGTGAGAGAAGCACATCCATTAGTTGCCTCCTGCACAAGCTCTGACCAGGGCCAGGGCTAGGGAGGAGCCTGTAGCTGCAGTATGTGCTAGAGATCTGTGCCCTTGATCAGGATCAAACTAGGGACCCTTCAGTTTGCAGGCCAACATTCTACCCACTGAGCCAAACCAGTTAGGGTTCTACATTTACACACTGAGGGGCAAGACTCCACCACCCAGA